ATCAAATCAAAATACAATTGAAATGGCAGCGAGCAAGTAAGAATAAATAGTTGTGTAAGCATGAAGAAGCACAGATGGTAACTTTGATACAATGCCTGTTGGTCAAGGCCTAGTGCTGTAGTTCAGCAGCACTAGTTGTTATACAATCCACTGTAAAATGGCAAGATGTATTAGATGAGAAATATGAAAGAGGGAAGTTTAGATGCATTAAAAGAAAGGCCAAGGCAGAGCAGCACAACTGGAGAGTTAAGGTACACCATTTGGAAGTGCAGTGCCATTAGCTTGTAGCCAGCACATTCACTCCCAGAGTAATAGAACCTTGCAACAATAGGAAAAGCAGTAAAATGGAACTACAATACAAAATACAATAACACTAAGAGGAGTAGGTGCAACATATTATGGAAAGGCTATGATAGCAGAAATGGAAACCAGACTTATCTCTTGATAGGCATTTTGCATAAGTAAGTATTTGCATCAGTTTCGAGAATGCTGATCAGACTGTGGCTGTGCGTGCAAAAAAGGTCAGCTAATGTGGAGATTGATGGACAGTTGAGAAATTGTTAGACAAGCTGTTGTGGGTGTAGGTTGGACAGAGTAGAGGTCCCCAAAACTGTAACTTTTGCAATCCCACTCTTACCAATACTCCCATTCCAATTACACACAGCTGCACAGTGGATACCTAATATTGTTAACAACATTTACCAGATGTGCTAGACAATTTAACAATTCTGTATTAAGTTAAAATGCCATGCACCACAGCTGCCTTCAATAGTTTGCTGTCCTTCAATGATCTTTATGAGGTATACATGGCATTCCTGATTACGATGTAATGCCGAAGCCACGTAGCTTTAATAAATAGATCTTTTTGAGAGTGTCCGTCCTGATGCCTTTCCCTAGAACATTAATAGTCATATCATTGCATGATAAAACTATAGAGTCATTAGACTGTTTATGCAGTCAAGAATACTGTGAGGAAGTTGTGTCCCAGTGCGGTACAGAAAAAAGTGTTTCTCAAGTATTGTTGAGTTTACAGTTTTCACACCATGGAAGAAATAACATCTTTTACTGGATTGTTTTCCTATTACTTCTAGTTCTAGTAGTTGTGAATGATGAAGAGGGTTAGTGAATGGAGCCTACTTATTTGTCACACAGTAAAATATTTTGTTTTGTGTGTTTTGTCTTAAAACTATCAAACTAGTAAACTGATTTTACATGGATGTTGTCAGCTAAACATATATCTATAACGTGTATCTTTATCAAACACATCAACCCGACAGCAATAGTTAACACTAACTTTACCTAAAAAAATAAAATAAAAAATCAGCGTGTTCGTTTAAATTAAATTGAGAAACCGACCTGAGCAGCAACTGGAAACACAGCTGAAGACACACAAAAACACAGTTCTTTAAACTATAAAACTGAGAATCTGAGATGCTGCAGATCAAGCATTGGTAAAAAAAAAAAAAAAAAAACTGATGCAAACTAATTGATTCCAATTCAGGTAGTAAACTCAAACTTAATTTTAAGAAACAATGTCTAGGATATATATTTCTTCTTACTCTGACTAGATAGTTGTATGCATGTTGACTTTTCCTTCTTGTACACATCATATGTTATTCAGGTTGAGTGCAGCATTGCTGGAAAATAATCACCCTTGGATGAACTCTTAACTATGTGTTCTTTTATAAATGGCAGAAGAAAAAGTAGCATCTGATGATCTCTGTAAATTAACGGTGACCGCTTGATTCAAAACAAGAGTGGCCCAATTAGAAAAATGACAAGCTCATTAAAACGGTCTTAAAACCCATCACAATAGCTTGCAAGGGCATTATCACTGTCTTGTCAAACACCAGTGGCTGTCAGACCACAGCAATTTATAACCATCCAAAGCCACAGTTAAAATGATCTTTATAGGTCCCCATAGACAGGGTTTGTACTGAACTGATTTTAAGAAATCACAAATGGTTTGTGAAATTGCTCCTGACTAATGGTGATGATTTTGATTGAATTACACATGTTGTATGTGGCTTGCATCATGGTCATTTCATTAACCCTCCTTCCATGCCTTTAGACATTTTGAGTCACTTTTTTTTGCATCTTGTAAAAGTTTGCTTAGGGAAATGTAGTAGTATCAGTAGCCTCTTTTCTCACCTTTTTGATGGGTAAGCATTTCTGCCCCAGTAATGATAGAATTTCTAACATTAACCTATTTTTACGGCAAAATTTTAGGCTAGGGTGCAAAAATGAAAGATTCTTAGGCTACATCATGCTTCAAAATTGACATTGACATTGTAAAAGACTTCTCTATACCTAGCAAGCATCCAACATGTTCTTTACACTTCATCTTCAAATACTTCCAGTAACACCAGGGAGAAGACTGGCATCAAGTGAATCCCACATAACTTCTAAAGGAGTCACTCTGAAAGTCACCGACCTACAGGGCTTGGGTGGATGTTTCGACCCTGAGTCACCCTGTCTTTTAGAAAATTAGGGGCCTGGCCCAGCCAAACCTGCCACACTGTAGTTCTCGGGATTGGCCTGGTAGCACTCACTATCACTCACTAATGCCTAGACACTGATCTTGCACTCTGTAAACGTGTGCCTTAAAATAGCCATTGGATTAACAACAATCAGGGGACAGATGCCATAGAACTGACTTTGCCCTAGGGACGACTCTCCGGCCAAACATTCACGGAACCAATTATGCCTGCAGGGTTTTGTCTGACCAGACAGGTGAGGCTTTAGCCAAATACACATACGCTACAAAACGTTTTATTTAATATTTACTTATTAAATATGTGTTTAAATTGGAATTAAACAGTTCATCACCAGAATAGGCCCCCTGGCTTTTGCATGGAGAGTTTCCTCTACAATCAGTGAAACAACCTGACAGGAAAGACTCTTATACAGAGATAGAGCCTCTGATTAATACTGGGGTACGGATGTTTCTCTGACTCAATCAAAGTAGGGCAAAACTAATTAGGCTGTTGCACCAGCACGTAGGATGGAAAAGGGACAGGGGAAGAGGCCTAGGGGGAGATTCTGTAATGAGGTCACAACCTCCCTATCCTCATCTTTGCAATGCTCCATTTTACATATTCAGGTTCCCTGAGAATGTGTATGTGTGAGTGTTTGCAAATGTCTGGCTGTATCACTATGTTACAGTGCGCTGGCACATAAACTGTGGCACTGATCAAGGTAATATGTTAAACCGTTCAATAGGGTTTGTTTAGATTCTGGATAGTGTCACTACTGTTAGCACTACATTCACACAGTGCCTTGCAGTTTATTACCTGGAAAACAACTCTTTAAAAATTACCAGCTGAAGCCGTTTATTTTAATTACTATATCTAATAAAAATCATGTCCTAATAAATCTATTTATGTAGCCACTCAATCCAACAAATAACACGTTATTTGAGAATCAAGACATTTGAAAAATCAGCGCACTGTTTGTTGAATATATAATAATGCCCTTTAGGTGGACACATAAGGCACATCAACGATGAAGCTTGTTGTCAAGGCAAATGAAAGCATCTGATTTCATCTCTATGGAAGCAAGGAGTGCCAGACTGTAAACAGTGAAACATCCCACTGGGTACAACCCACCTCAGCACACTTAAAACGCCTTTGTATATACAGAATAAGCATCAATTTGCATTGTAAATTCACAGGTAATATTAAGTGTTAAGATTCTCAGTCATCCGGGTCATGTGATATCATGAAATACATACAAATTATCAGAGTTGATTTTGGTTTAGTACGTCTAGATATGATTAACAGTTGGTGATTTATGTCAGAAATTATGGAAAGTACTTTTAAATCCAAGTGACTTTACAGTTGTTTGCCTGTGCATATCCTGCTACATAACACTATGGAGCAACACAGTAAAAACCCCAGATCCAAACAAAAGCTAAACGACGTGCAAACGTGGCTCCAAGACTAACTGCAACTATGCTTCACTTACCACAAGCGCAACATGTCGGTAGGGGTCTTCAGCTCGCCCACTGTTTATTTCAACTACTAAACGCCAAAGAAAACTGTCCGAAAATGGAACCGTGATCATGAATGCACCGTTTTGCAAACACAAGCCTGCAGCTACAGAGCCAACGTTTCTCGGCTTCTGCATCTATTCCCCACTTACAGGACGTTTACCGTTAACAGACTTTCTCAACGAACGCTATATAAGAAATCGCATAATCGGCATCCTGACAGTAGCTATTTCTACAAAAGCGAGTCAGATGATGGACTCACCCAAAGCTCCGTGCCCCAGTCCATGTTCAGCTTGTCGGCCAAGCTGCCTGACTATCCCGAATACAAAGAACTTCTCCAAAGTTTATCCCGACAGCTCGGAGGACGGCCCTAGCAAGTAGCTATAATCCCGAGGTGATAAATCAGTCGTAACCACTACGCACTCCGGTTTTGGTTCATTCAACAAATAATGTCAACTAGGATCATAATTAGCTAATTAACAAGGACTGGCAGTCGTTAGTCTAGTTTGTCCAAATATTTTTCATAGTGAAGGAGGAAAGAGGGATAAACTAGCTTTCATATCCGCGTCACTCCCAAATCCTAAATCTTAAAGGGGCAGTGCACTGAACCACAAATACTGGCCGCAGCATTGTCCTACATCCTGACAGCTTGTGTTGTTTAAAATTATATTTTTTGTTTATTGTGGTTTATAATTTCCTTTCAGCAAGGCACTGAGCTCCACGGACTTCGTGCTGCCCTGACATCAGTTCATCATCAGTCATCACACATTATGTACTCAAAAACTGATGAATAAACACAGGGACTGATGCTGGCAGATAGGCTATACCAAGCAATCCAAGTAAACTCATTTATCAGCATGAGATTGCATTACATATGATAATAATAACATCACAGTCTCACAGTCCCTCAGTCCGACCAACATATCAAGGCTAAATTATGAAAGCAAAACATGTAAAACCAATATTAAATTATATATCTAAGCAATGAAGGGTATAGATGCACAACACATTGACATGGGCTATTTTATTACTTTATTAAGAATTAAAAAAAATCAAAGCTATGTTACAATGTAAAGCTCCACAAATAAAGCAAAATGTTTTAATTCACTGGCTTGGTCAGTAGTATTGATTGGCAAACAAGTGCTCATCAGTAACTCAGTCCTCACTGGTGTCAAACTAGGATCATACCAGACCTACAATACAATATTTACAAGTCATTCTTGCCATGCAAGAAAAATGACATACCTGATCAAAGTTTCAGTCCACAAGATGATTTAATCTTACCTATTCAGCAATTAAATACATATCCTAAGATTGCACCCCATTAGACTGAGTAGTCATGGGGATACCTGAACCATCCTTGGCTTTGTCAGGGACAAAACTATATTGTCCCTGTTTTTTCGAGCGGCTGTGGAAAAAGATGATGATGATGATGATGATGATGACAAGGAGCGACAGAAATATCAACCCCCAAATGAGCGGGGAGAGGCCTGTAATGGTTTGACCTGTAAAACAAACAAGACAAAACAACAGAATTTAAAAGTGTACTTCTGGCTTCTTGATGCCATAGATGTTTATTTTTCCTACAAACTATGTATGGCAACTTTAACTTCAGTTACCACTTCACTGTTCTGCACATAGTCAATAGTAATACCTTTCATTATCAGTGTGACAGATCTTGTCACATGTCCAACACTGTTGGAGGCAACACAGATGTAAACACCAGCATTGGTAGACGTGGCTCCTGTGATGCTGACGTTCGTCTGGTGCCCCCCAGTGGTCACCCTCGCATTCCCTGCATCGATGTAGTTCCACTGGATTTTAGGAGTAGGGTTCCCATCAGCATGGCAGTGAAAAGTCACATTTTCACCCTGGGTTACCTCCTTACTGTAATTTCCCTCCTTGAACACAGGGGCATCTGTGGAGAAGAAGGTGAGATTTAATAAGAAGAATATGCTGCAGTTTATTTATAAATGTATGTATAATCCCAAACTGTCAACAAAAAACATACAAAGACTAATCTCAAACAATACAACTTACACAGAACATCAATATATAGGGTGTGATTGGCTGTTCCATGTTTGTTGGTTACTGTAAGTAAGTATTCTCCACTATCATTCTTTGTCCAGTGTGGGGAAGCCATCATTTTTCCATCTTTAAACCAGGTGACGACAGGCTTAGGAATTCCCTTTGGTTCACAGTCAATTTGGAGTTTACCATGCTCTTCAACCTCATATCTATCATTACAGGTAAACGAAGGGCTATCTGTGAACAAAATACTTAATAGAATAAATAATGGCACAAGAAATATAAACTCATTTCACACTTAAATACGGTGCATGGCTCTCATGTAAAATATCATGTTTATCTATATTGTAATGAAATGTACAATTTAGCAAGTCTGATGCACTCACATTCAATTGTGATATCAACAGAAGTGTTGCTCTTGCCAAGGTAATTTTCAAATTCAGCTGTGTACTTTCCAGAGTGAGTCCTGGTGAGGGGCTCAGATGCTTTGATCGGTTCTCCCTGATAGTACCACTGAACAGTGGGTGCAGGGTTCCCATCAGCTTGACAGGACAACGTGTCTATACGGAACTCATTCTCCACACCAGTGTAATGCTCTGGACAAGCTTGGATCTGTGGCTTATCTATAGAGATCAGCATAAATTAGTACAAAAATTATTTAAGGAGTGGATTTTTTATCAAGTTAAAAATACAACAATTAATAGTTAAGTGGAAAACTCACAATGCACAACCGCAATGTAAGGCGATGAGGATTTAGGGGTGAGCTCTGGCCCTTTTGGTCCGAAGTGCAGCTCAGCCTCACATCTGAAAATTGATGCGTTGTAATCTCTCACAGGAGTGACTCTCAAGACGGAAGACACATTGACTGGGGTCACTCTGGTGTCGTTAAAAATTTCTGTGTGCACGATTCCATTTCCTTTGTACCACTTCACTTTGAGCTTCTGTACAGGAGCCACATTGATGATGTCACACTTCAGCAGGAAGTCTGTGCCCTCCACCACCGAACCAGGATCTCTGGCAGAGACTGACACAGTGTCTGGAGTCTCTGTAAATAAAATAAGGGAAAATTACTAGTAGAAAAAAACATAATAATATTCCTAAAATTGTAACCACAATTGCACAATAAATATGCATACACACATGTCCTATTGAGATGAAGACAGAAGAAAATGCATAGTCTACAGACTGTATATGAGTACTCACTATAAACAGTGATGGCTGGACTCACAAAACACTGGCTATTATCATTCCGAGTAATGTAGCACTCAGGTTTTATGCTCCACTCTGTCAGTTTTTTAACAGTCCAGGTGACAGTAGGAGGATTTTTAAACCCTGTGCCTCCAACTGCAGCCTCCCAGCCCATTCCAGAAACATTGGTGGCCGATGTGCTGCAGTTAACTGAAGCTGGATCCCCAAATCTCACCACCAATTCATCAGGCGACAATATTACGTGACAACCTGCCATATAAAAGCAAGCAAATTCAATCAGAGCTCAATTTTGGTACATAATAGGTAGAGTATTTAGTGATACATATTCCATATATGAACTAATGTAAAGGACACAAGGATGTATACCTCTTGGAGCTGATGCTGCAGGGCTGGTCATGGCAGCAAGGGCTGTTGTTGTGGTAGTTTTTATCACATGAACATGGATTTGTTTAATTATGTTTCCCAGATAGTTGGTAGCTTTGCAGCTGTAAGTTGCGCTGGTGTGTACTTGAGTAATGTTGAGATTATTCGTGTTCTCTGTGAAATTCACCCCATCACAGGTCCAATGGAAGACAGGAGGAGGGTTCCCCTCAGCTTCACAGTTCAGGGTGACATCATTGCCCTCATTCACAGTAACATCAATATCCCCTTTGCTCTTGAGCTCAGGAGCATCTGAAGAGGTAAGAGTTTTAATTCATTAAAAAAATAGAGATCATGATAGAATGATGGAAAATTTAAAGTTTCAATAATGTTCTGTTGATCTGGAAACAAGTAAAAAAATATATAATAATAAACAGATTGACTGTGGAAAACTCACAATGCACAACCGCAATGTAAGGCGATGAGGATTTAGGGGTGAGCTTTGGCCCTTTTGGTCCGAAGTGCAGCTCAGCCTCACATCTGAAAATTGATGCGTTGTAATCTCTCACAGGAGTGACTCTCAAGACGGAAGACACATTGACTGGGGCCACTCTGGTGTCGTTAAACATTTCTGTGAGCACGATTCCATTTCCTCTGTACCACTTCACTTTGAGCTTCTGTACAGGAGCCACATTGATGATGTCACACTTCAGCAGGAAGTCTGTGCCCTCCACCATCGGACCAGGATCTCTGACAGAGACTGACACAGTGTCTGGAGTCTCTGTATATAAAGTAAGGTAAAAATAATTAGTAGAAAAAAACATAACAAAATCCCTAGTCTACGTCTTGAAAAAAGAGGTTTTAATCTCAATGTGACTTTCTAGATAAAGGTTAAGTGTATAAGATTTAGCGGCGAAGCGAAGAGGTTGTGAATTGCAACCAACTGTCTAGTCTACCACTCCCCCCTGTCTATTTTTGTAGCCTAACCCTATTTGTTGATGTAACGGGTACTGAACTAGGCATAGATTTGGACACTACGTTCATCTGGAAAGAAACTTATCCCTATTACAAAATACAGACATTTGAGACTGGCCATTAAATTTAGCTTATGTGAACACTGAGTGTCAAAGTAGCCTATAGCTATGGGTGCACCCTTAAAAACTCCCCAGAAATAGTCTAGGTTAGCTACACCCATCATAGCACATACAAATGTACAACAGTAGGCACAAGAAACAAAACTGAAATTGAAAACAAAAAATGAATTATAGCCTACAGAGTTTGCTCAAATGTTCAAATGATAATCTTTACATTCAAGAATCAATCATATCAAAAGTATCAAAAAAGTCACACACACATATTCACTGAACTTGAATATAAGCTACAACAATAAAAGTCCAAAAAGCACTCCATGCCTACAAAAATAACTATTGATTACAATGTTCACTCACTTGTATCCAGAAAGCAACCAGCACAAAAATAAACACATCTATCTTTCAATCATTTCTAGAAGATATGTTTTAATGTTTTCTATAGCCTAGAAAGTAAATGCAGTTGTTCCAGATGGGATTCAGTCGCGCACAGAAGCCGAGAGCGTGGCTCACATGAGGAGTGCAGACACTCAGCTGCTACAAGTGAGTATGCAGCCGGAGACTCGCTCCATGTCTGAAAAGGTCTTGAGACACACAAGCACACACACACGCACTCTAAAACATGTAGCCAGTTGCGTGGAAGTTAACACCAATTTATTAACGGTCGCCAATATTTGGCAGAGAAACAGAGAGAGAGACACGGATACGGTGGATGCGGCGATTCTTCTGCTTGCTATATTCTAAATTATTCTCTATAATTAGACTTTATCATCACTGCCGCTGGTCACGTTGACAATTAACAACAGGTCAAAACAGCCCTGCCACCGGGTCCAGTCTCCCGACTTTCTTTGAACGTACATATTCAATGTTGTGACTAGCATCTACACAGACAGAATTCTACAAGAAGAAGAAGAATGTAGTGACAAAACGCGCTCTGTAGCACTGTTTGTCCATTTTGGGCTACTGTAGAAACATGGTGATGTCCATGTAGGGAAGACCCACGGTTATGTAGATAGAAATGGCTCATTCTAAAGTAATAAAAACATAACAGTTCATTATGTCAGGTCTTCATACACCACTTAATACACTTATGCATCTTATATTGCATTTCTGTCAATAGATCCTTAGAAATATTACACACTGGACCATTAAATAAAAGTTAGATTTACTTTGTCAATGTTTTCCGTTGTATAATATTCTTTTGAAATAACACTTACTGTACACAATGATTTCTAGGTCTTTGCTGCATTCATAGTCCTTCAGCTGTATTTTGCACTTAGCCGTTAAACTCCAGTCTGACAGTGAAATATTCAAGTTGATAAAACTGTCAATTTCGATTTCAGACAGTGGTTTTTCAACATTATTTACAGTCTGCATCCAGTGCATCCCAGTATGATTCATGTTACTGCTGGTGCAGTCTACCAAGACTGAATCTCCATATTCTCCTATAACCTCAGGAGGATCCAGAATGAGAGGGTTGTTCTCAGTGGGGCACATACTGTCTGCATCTGTGGATAGACAAATGGCAATGTTTTTATTGTACTTTATTGTAAATGGAGGGTAAATAAATGAATAACTAGCAATATAAGAAAATGCTTAAATTAATGAATAAATAAATAATTGTGTAATTGAATCATTAAATACAACCATAAAAAAATAGCATATATTTACACATTTTTATGTATTTATATATTTGCTTGCAGTCCTGAAAAAACCCTCATAGAATTCTAGCTAATGGTATGCTGTCATGTTCCCAGTAATAACATCCACCTGGTCTTCAGAAAATTTTAAACTTTAAAGATTTAAAGATAAAGACTTCTAATTTAATGTAGTGGGATAGCATCTTGAGACAGACATCTTGTTTTAGTATTTCAAAAAGTACAACTATACAGCACCCTCTATAAGTTGAAATTTAGTTCAAGCGCTTTACACCATAAACTACATGTGCTGTGCTAAGATCTCCTACATGGTTGTATTACCGTTAATTTTAGATGTACTCCACCCAAGACACACACTCTATGCAGTCAGCGTCATGTATCACAGATAGTATTGAGGAAGTTTTTACCACAGACTTTATAACACCTACCTCTCCCACTCTTAAGGTTTTTTTTCCATTTACAGTTTTCTGTTTCACTCTATTCTGTTAAAAAGTCAACGACTACAGACATGAAAATTTTTATTGTCCTCCTTTATCTTTATTACCTCTAACAGCTCACAATCAAAAGAAATCTTTTATTGTATAAAATATAATTATTTAATATACATTTTTCCGGTTTTGTAGCTACCATCACTGGTAACACAAGGAGCTGTCTTAACTTTAAGCAAGTCAGAAATAACCAGGATTTTAATGTTTTATCACAATAAAATAAAGAATAACATTTAAGACCCACACAGAGCTACTGTAGAGCATCATTAGCACTCACCACACAGTAAAAATATGAACATTAGAGAGCCCAACATCCTGAGAGGCAGCATGCTTGATCAGCACGTGGGTGGAGGGAGATGGGAGGTAGACAGCTGGTGTGTTTAGGGATCGTCCAGCAGATGTCCAGCTTCAGTACCTGGATAATGATGAATCCTGGCTCAGAGCTGAAGATGATGACCTGCTGCTGACGGTTACACAAACTTAGAGAGAAAACAAGAAGGCAGAAGAGGGGAATTCTCCGCCCCAGTGAACAGGAAACTGCATCTACAACGGAAATATGACACCACAACCACAGTCAGTTCTTCATGTAACCATTCATTGAATCTTAATATTTTCTTAAATATTAAAAAGGAGATAATTTGGCGTAATTTTATTAAAAAGTATATTAGAAATTGTAAAACCTAATATTTTGTCAGGATATTGCAACAGAGGACAGACACTCAGTACATGTTAGTCATTATGCACTATATTATAGGCCTACACTACATTATGACTCACTATACAAAGGTACAGACTGGTCTCCATTAAACATTTTTTATTAAACAGACACACTGGCTCAACACTGTACAGGGTTAACACCAAAACATGTTTCTTAAGGCCCTCTAGAGTGGCATGCATGGCTCTAGAACTGGCAATGCCTGAAATGGCACAGCACCGCTTAGACTATGCCTCCCCCTGGAGACAACAGGTAAGACTTCCTTTCTGCCACAACAATGAGGTCTTCACATGTCCACTCTTACTTTTAATAATCCCCCTTTTCCCCCCACCCCTTCCACTCCTCAGCAATGTGTGCTGTATACTCCACATGAAAATCTCATTTGGCATGTTCTCTGGCTGCTGCTGAATATTGTGCTGCAGGCTGTGGTGTAGTCTGGCCAGAGTGGCTAGGAAGGTGGTAGGTAGACAGACTCAGACATCATATGTTCACAGAGGTGATTATTTTATTTACAGTGGTCTGCAGTTCACGGATAATTCGACAATCAAATCAACAAAAAGACTTAAGAAAATATAAGAAAATAATGCATTAAACTTGTAGCAACGCTAACAAAGGGCACGTGTTCACAGCAGCACAGACTCACCTCTTTATCCCCTTGGAAGCACAAATCCCACTGTTTATATTGGGTGGTTGATTCACACCCAACTGCTTCAGCCCATCCCATTCTGATGCGGGTTGATCTACTCCATAACATTAATACCTAGAAATCTCTTAACATTTGGAACGTAGTTACCATTTATCTCCGCTCTCACTGCCTAGAAAACAGGTCAGGGTTATTCACACATTTATTTATAATAATCAAAAACAACCAAAAGAAACATTGCTATAAAGAAAGAAAACCCACTACTTGGTTTGGCAAGGTGATGTCATCAATGAGCACCATATTCCTATAAAACAGGAAATGCTTAGGCCAATTAAACCATGTTTAAACTTGCAACCTAATAAAATGGAGCTGAAACTAACTTATGACTGTGTTTACTCTAACTTATCATGTGCTTTGCTGTCGACTGTGTTATGACCTGACTCAAAAGGCCACAACAAAAGGGAGACACACCCTGGTAAAAGTTTAACAAAATATATTTATTTAAACCAAAATTAACCAAATTAAGAAGTATTTCAAAGTATGGGGTATGTAGTCTGTGGTTTGAGTAGTGTCTGTGCAGGATGATGGTTGCATGGGTGTATGTGTGAAGGTGTTGTAGCATGCAAACAAGACAAATACCACAACACAACAGTCCAACCAAAGAAAACCAAACTAAATGGAAAACCAGGGAGCCGGCCGCAGGGAGGTCTGACCTGGTCTTGCCAGCAGCCCCTTGCCGAACAGTCCCAAATACTCTACAGGGCAATTAGCCCAGGTGCCCAGAACCACTGCAATCAGCTCCTCCTCCACGAGAGAGAGAGAGAGAGAGAGAGAGAGAGAGAGAGAGAGAGAGAGAGAGTGACAGGCCACACCCACTCATGACTCCACAGGGTGTCACAACTGTAACATAATGCAAACACAAACAACCCGGGATAGTAAGTGGTGCACTTTTACACAAGCTATGGTAAATTACCAAGAAATAAACACTTATATATGTATAAACTAGAAGGTAATGGCCTGTATGGGACCAGTGGTGAACTAACCCACTTCGTCACACAGGCACATATAGTAAATACAGTCTGGAACTGCAATCATAAGTCAATTAATCGCTAATAATAATTAGTTGGTAGGCTACATTGTGTTTCTTGCCTTCGTCTGTTCCTTATCCAATAGAGCAATTTATGACAAAATCGAGCTCAGACAAGTCTGTTAAACGATTCCTGACAAGTTGGACCATGTTCTTCTGTACTGCCCTTCAGGTAAAATCAAAGAGACAAAACACAGATTAATGAGATGTGGGTTAGCTTGATCACAGAACACAGTTAAAAGGTTCAGACAGAGAGGCCTGTGATCCACCACCACAATAACATCTAACCAATTGTCAGTGTTAGGGTAATCAACTTACAACCATAGAGTTTCTAATTTCTAAGGTGCTTGTGGAAAACAACTGTCCTATATTTGACTTACAATAGAAATAGTAGTAAAAGAATCAAATGGCAAGATTTTAAAGTGTAAAAGGGACAATTTATTCATATCTGAATGATTTAAAACACGAGCAGTTGTTACAGTAGACAATCCCTTCCAAAAGTATTGGAACGGTAAGGCAAATTCCTTTGTTTTTGTTGTTCACTGAAGACATTTGGTTGAAGATCAAAAGATGAGTATGAGACAAGAGTTCAGAATTTCACCGTTTGAATTAGACCACAGCATTCTTTGGTGAGCAAAAGTAATGGAACAAATAATCTTTAAGAAAATAACATTTAATATTTGGTGGCACCCTTGCTTGCAATAACTGCCTCAACTGCCTCAAGCCTGCGACCCATCGACATCACCAAACTGTTGCATTTTTCATTTGTGATGCTATTCCAGGCTTTTACCGCAGCTTCTTTAAGTTCTTGTTTGTTTCGGGGTGTTTCTCCCTTCAGTCTCCACTTAAGGAGGTGAAATGTATGCTCTACTGGGTTAAGGTCAGGTGACTGACTTGGCCAGACTAAAATCACTTCCACTTTTTCCCCCTAATGAAGTCCTTTGTTTTGTTGGCAGTGTGTTTTGGGTGCATTATAAACTGATAAACCGATAAGTTTCAATGCATTTCTTCGTAAATTGGCAGACAAAATGTTTCTTTCCACTTCTGAATTTATTCTGCTGCTACCGTGATCAGTTACATCATCAATAAATATTATGCACGCCTAAACCATGACATTACCTCCACCATGCTTTACAGATGAGCTTGTATGCTTTGGATCATAAGCACTTCCTTTGTTTCTCCCCACTTTGGCCTTTCCATCACTTTGGTAGAGATTCATCTTGGTCTCATCAGTCAATAAGATCGTGTTACAGAACTTTTGCATCTCATCTCTGTACTTCTTTGCAAATTTCAATCTGGCCTTCTGATTCTTCCTGCTGATGAGTGGTTTCAATCTTGTGGTGTGGCCTCTATATTTCTGCTCTATGAGCCTTCTTCCAACAGTGGATTTTGATACCTTCACCCCTGCACTGTAGAGGTCGTTGGTGAGGTCACTTACTGATTTTGGGGGGGTTTTCTTCACAGCTCTCACAATATTTCTGTCATCAACTACTGTTGTTTTCCTTGGCCGACCTGTTCGACTTCTGTTGCTCAGTACACCAGTAGTTTCTTTCTTTTTCAGGACTTTCCAAATAGTTGTGCTTGCTTTGCCCAATGTTTGTCCAATGGCTCTGGTCGATTTTCTCAGCTTGACAATGGCTTGCTTTTCTCCCATAGACAGCTCTCTGGTCTTCATGTTGGTTTATCCTTACAGGAAATGCAGTTGTGGGAAATTTTATGTGGTGGCTTTTCCCTCATGGAAATAGAAATCACAACTTACCACTGAATAAAAGGTTTTACAATAATTTATTTACAGGAATATAAATGAGTATGGATTACAGAAAAGCTTAAGAATCAGTAAATATTACTGATAATAATACTAAGTTTGGCATGGAAAAAGATAACTGTAACCAAAATCAGATTATCAATCAATATTTCCTTAAGGATACTGCTTCTAGGGCAAGGTCGACTTAGAATTTAACCCATCTATAGGCTATTACCTTAGTTCCTGAAGAACAAGTATGGGTTTTAATAATTATACAATTATTCACTAGTGATCAGTTAGTTAATAATCACTCAATTATCTTAAATCAATCAGTCAATCTCATATCGAAGTGCGTAAATCCTTCGTGACAGTGACTTGGAGTTAAACAATACACACAAAGTTCCTGTAATAGGTGAAGTCTATTAGATAACTAAGGGGAAATAAATGCGGCTAATTATACATCAAACAAATAAACAATGGCTAAACAAACATGAGGCAAACAATGAGAATGCTGAGTTCTATTGTGGGAAGAATTTGATTCATAGGGAGAAAGAGAACTAATGAAAGCAGTTAGATGATACTAATGGTGCGTTCCATTTGACATGGGAAGTTGGAATTTCCGAGTTCAAAGGTCAACATTTCAAAGGGAATGCACCCTTAAGTCGGAATCCCGACTTCGGAAGTCGGGAGAATCACACTACCCCGACTTTGTGATCCAAGATGGCTGTCGGGGTATCAACAGTTAGTAAAAGCTCTAGTTTATACTGTTTATTAGCACTTCTGTGTACTTGTGTCTCACAGAAATGTTCGTACACAAAGTGCTGTCCAACAACTGTCTGTGGACGTGTTGCTACAGTGTTTAGTATGAGTAAATACATTTACATTTATTCATTTAGCTGACGCTTTTATCCAAAGCGACTTACAATTGCTATACATGTCAGAGGTCGCACGCCTCACGTCCACAGACAGTTGTTGGACAGCACTTTGTGTACGAACATTTCTATGAGACACAAGTACACAGAAGTGCTAATAAACAGTATAAACTAGAGCTTTCACTAACTGTTGAAAGCCAAGGGGCTTGGCTTTGTTCCCCTGAGGGCTTGTTTCCTTTAAATGTAATGTCTATTTTAAAAGTCTATTTGCACGTATTTTAATCAAATATCTTCCTACAATCAAACCTTTATTGCCAAACAGTTATACCGTTCTTAGTTTTAAGCATTTGATAAAAACGAAAACAACTATCAGTAGTTAAACCTAAAAAAGGGTTAACATTTCGTAGAGACCACGTCAGATTAAGAAACTTAAATAGCTTCCTGGATAATATTGGCTGTTACAAATTCTTTCTTAAATATATGAGAGCAAGGTATACGAACATGCCATCATATATGAACAATAAACGGTAAGATTAAACAGCATTTCAGAACGTTGGCATGTAATACTTATTTTGTCCTTTTGGGTGAACTCTGGTTCCATGAGGAGACTGAAGATAGCAAATGATTATTTCTTTAAACAATCATTTGCTCAGGAGCTGGGGGAATTAATTATTTAACACAGGATAACATTTCGGTTATATATCATTTCTAAGTATAAGAAGTCAGAAAGAGCTGGAAATAAAGCATTAGTTAAAAACATCACTTAAACGAATGTCAGGAATCCTTGCTGAAAATTAAAACACTGGGAAATTAACTCAGTACAGTAAACACAGTAATATAGCTACTCTAATGGAGTGGAGAGACCTGTTTAGTAACTTAACAAAGATTATTTAATTAAACAAGGTTACTGGACTGTCTCCTTTCTCCAGCGTCAGTTTCTCACCAATTGTTGTTGTGAACATCTTCTCGTGTGAACCTGCCACTGGTACAGATATGTGGACGACACCTGGGTCAAAATCAAAAGCCAGGAAGTGCAAGCCTTCACAGAACACATCAACTCTGTGGACAGTAACATCAGGTTCACACGAGAAGATGTTCACAACAACAGTTTGGCCTTCCTGGACTGCGCTGTACACATTGAAGAGGACAGGAGCCTGCAGATTGGTGTTTACAGAAAACCCACACACACAGACCAATACCTACTCTTCGATTCACACCACCCACTGGAGCACAAGCTAGGGGTCATGAGAACACTGCACCACAGAGCGGAAAACATACTAACAAGCGCCCAAGCCAGAGAGAAGGAACAGAACCACCTGAAGGGGGCACTTACAGCCTGTGGATACCCTAAATGGACTTTTGTGAAGACAGCCACAAAATCCAAGAAGTACAAAACTACAGGGGAGGAGGAAAAGAAGGTCAAACGCAACAACATTGTAATTCCATACGTGTCTGGAGTATCAGAGAAACTCAGGAGGATTTTTAACAAACATAACATCCCTGTGTTTTTTAAACCCAAGAACACACTAAGACAGATGCTGGTCCACCCCAAAGACCGCACACCCAAACACAAGAAAAGCAATCTAGTGTATGCGGTCCAATGCAGTGAGGAATGCACAGACCTGTATATTGGGGAGACTAAACAACCACTACACAAACGCATGGCTCAACACAGAAGGGCCAACTCCTCAGGTCAAGACTCTGCAGTCTACTTACATCTGAAGGACAGAGGACACTCGTTTGAGGACCACCAGGTGCACATTTTAGACAGAGAAGATGGATGGTTTGAAAGAGGTGTCAAGGAAGCCATCTACACCAGGGTTGAGAAACCGTCATTGAACAGGGGAGGGGGTCTACGCCACCACTTATCCCCCACTTACAATGCTGTCCTTTCATCACTTCCCAGGAAACTCAACAAACGTAACCTATTGGCCTCAGGTGAAGATACCAACGATGGTCGTTCAGTCTTGGCCACAGGTAGTCTCAACGACTGTAACGACTGTCGTCACAGCAACAAGGAACACTAACGAACCAGCGGTATCGATGACCCGGGCCAACGACCCCACTGAGGTTAAATAGCTGAGTTTCCCTGCCAGTCAGTCAGAACTGAAGAAGTCCTTTGGATGAGGGACGAAACGTCTTCCAGTAGCTTCAACCAAGTCCAGTTGCCCTTCATTTTAACCTTCGTTGGACTGCATTCTATTGAAAATCCAGCAGGGGGCGACTCTTCTGGTTTGAAAAAGAAGTCCGGCTCCATTAGAAATAATTGGAAAATGACCCTACTTCTTAGCTGAATAATTACCCCAGTAAACACTTTCCTGATGAGTTTATGGTCTCAGTCGCAAGTTTCAAGTCTTCAATACAAAATGATGTTCATTTAGTAAATTATGGTCCCATTTATTTTAAAATAGACCAAAAAGCAGAGTATGTTTCAGGGCAGGATTATCTATGATTGACAAGTTGTTACCATAGCGACCTGTCAATCAGGCTAGAGCCGACTTGTACCCTCGACACTGTAAAATTAACCAGCGCCGTTGAAAAAGCTTATTAGGAGTTGGCTGTTCACTTTCTCTGGTGAGTACATTTAGTTTTAAGACTGTTGTTCGTTAGACAAAGTTATCAGCCTAGTTAAAATGACAGTTAACGTGAGTTACAGTTGCACCTAGCTAAGCAAGCTCGCTAGCTTAGCACACAGCCGTTAGCTCCGCCGTATCGTCACTTCCGGGCACTTCCTGGTTGCAAAAACTTGACATGGCGGGGCCCTATCGGCCAAACTTCAGGCTTCAAAACGGCAGTCCACAAACCAACTGGTGACGTCACGGTGACTACATCCATTTCTTATATACAGTCTATGGTCTCACACATGGGCAAGGACAATATGGTTTGCTAGTGCCCCCTACAGAGCAGCTCCAGGCCAAAGTTTCACCTACGTGTACAAAATTTCTGGGGTTGATGCATCAAAAAAGCCTCTTGGAATGATGCCCGATGCAATTTACACACTTCGTACTTTAACAAAGTCTTCCTGGAGAATAAATCCGATTTTCTCTCTGCAGTCTAAACCCGTTGAGTTTGTACAAACAGTGAGTTTTGTCGACAAGCATGCCAGTGGCATCAAAAATTGATGATTCGCAATGAAACAGGAAGTTGTTATAACTTCAGTGTATATGCTCACATCTGTACCAAATTTGAAATGTATAATCAGAGTTCTGCTCTGAACACATCCATATGCCAGTGTTCACTCAAAGTCATAGCGCCACCTGATGGCAACAGGAAATTCCACATTTTACACTGTGATGGACTACTCCTAGCGGGTTGACCGTATCAACTTCAAAACTGTTCCAGAAAACACTTAGCATTCTTATAACGCCATGTGGTAAAACTTGTGAGTTTTGTGTGTCCGCTTTGTGCTGCCCTGACATATCCTTACACCCCCCACATGGATCAGTTCATCATCAATCATCACACATTACGTCCTCAAGAACTGATAAATACATGAATTGATGCTGGCAGATACAGTATACCAATTCACATATAGTTTTTCAATTCATGAATGACTCAGTTAAGAGCTGGAGATTGCATCACATATAATAATAATAACAATACAGTTCCTCAGTTAGTCACCCAGTCCTGTTTTTTCCAGTTTTATTATATACTGTACAATAATGTTATATAAAGCCTACATGTTTTTATATGACCAACAATTCTGTTTTTTTAACACACCAAACATGTCAAGAGGATTAAAATGCAAACTCAGGCACTGACAATAATCAAGGCTACAGAGTGAAAGCAAAACATGTCAAACCAATTTTAAATTATGTATGTAAGCAATGAAGGGTATAGATGCACAATATATTGACATGTGCTTTTGTGTAACTTTATTGAGAATTAAAAGAAGGTCCTAATCAGTAACTCTCCCTCATAAAGGCATTTTTACATCTGTCCTCACTGGTGTGAACCTAGGATCATACCAGACCTAAACTAGAATGTGTATTTCCTTAAGAAAATGCGTGTGAGAGCTGCCAGCTATTTTTTACGATTGCTATCGCTGTCGGTGCAATGTGCAGCTCCATCAGCTAAGAGACTCAGTGATGTGCTGCACACTTGTTCAGCAAACATATGTGTTAAGTTTGGTTAACGTGCTGTGAGCAGGGTTTTGTCCATCAATCTCTGGATCCGGAGCAAGACCTCCACCACCTGACTACTCAGATACACTGTGAAGGGAAGGCTTTCAAGTTTCTTTGTCAATCATGTCTTATTCTGACAAAAAAAAAGGTCTCCTAAGCACCAATATAAGGCATGTTTTGCTTATAAACATATCTTCTGTGATGGCTACTGCACTGTTGAAGAATAAAATAAATAAACATACATTTATCTGACGCTTTTATCCAAAGCGACTTGAACCCGGGCCTCTCACACCAAAGGCAGGTATCTTATCCATTGCGCCATCACGGCTATTGAGTTATCAAGCTATTAAGTCTTTCACAGCACAATTCTTTGGCTGTTCATTTATTTTATTCTTCAACAGCGGAGTAGCCATCACAGAGCAAAACATGCCTTCTATTGGTGCTTAGGAGCCATTTTTTTGTCAGAAGACATGATTGAAAAAGAAACTTGAAAGCCTTCCCTTCATAGGAACACAGTCATTTTAAAATGCATAAAAATATTAATATAAAATCAACCATTACAGATATCAGCAACACAGGTAATCGCACCCATCTCATGAAGAAGATTTACAATTTGAAGTTGAAACCAAGTTTGTAGGACAAACGGTACAGGACTAGTTAGATGCCAAAAAACAGCGGAATAAATGATAATAATAATAATAATAATAATAATAATAAAGAGCGAAAAGAACAAAAGTGTGAGAGCTGCAGCTCTCACACTAAATACAAGTTTTACAAGTCATTCTTGCCATGCAAGAAAAATGACATACCTGATCAAAGTTTCAGTCCACAAGATGATTTAATCTTACCTATTCAGCAATTGAAAACATATCCTAAGATTGCACTCTATTAGACTGAGTAGTCATGGGGATACCTGAACCATCTTTGGCTTTGTCAGGGACAAAACTATATTGTCCCTGTTTTTTCGAGCGGCTGTTGAAACAGATCACGATGATGATGATGATGATTATGAGGAGGAGGAGGAGGAGGATGCCAATGAGCAATATCAACCCCCAAATGAGCAGTGAGAGGCCTGCAATAGTTTGACCTGTAAGACAAACAAGACAAAACAACATAAATTGAAAGCGAACTTCTTGATGCCATAGATGTTTATTTTTCCTACAAACTATGTATGGCAACTTTAACATCAGTTACCACTTCACTGTTCTGCACATAGTCAATAGTAATACCTTTCATTATCAGTGTGACAGATCTTGTCACATGTCCAACACTGTTGGAGGCAACACAGATGTAAACACCAGCATTGGTAGACGTGGCTCCTGTGATGCTGATATTCGTCTGGTGCCCCCCAGTGGTCACCCTCACATTCCCTGCATCGGTGTAATTCCACTGGATTTTAGGAGTAGGGTTCCCATCAGCATGGCAGTGAAAAGTCACATTTTCACCCTGGGTTACCTCCTTACTGTAATTTCCCTCCTTGAACACAGGGGCATCTGTGGAGAAGAAGGTGAGATTTAATAAGAAGAATATGCTGCAGTTTATTTATAAATGTATGTATAATCCCAAACTGTCAACAAAAAACATACAAAGACTAATCTCAAACAATACAACTTACACAGAACATCAATATATAGGGTGTGATTGGCTGTTCCATGTTTGTTGGTTACTGTAAGTAAGTATTCTCCACTATCATTCTTTGTCCAGTGTGGGGAAGCCATCATTTTTCCATCTTTAAACCAGGTGACGACAGGCTTAGGAATTCCCTTTGGTTCACAGTCAGTTTGGAGTTTACCATGCTCTTCAACCTCATATCTATCATTACAGGTAAACGAAGGGCTATCTGTGAACAAAATACTTAATAGAATAAATAATGGCAAAAGAAATATAAACTCATTTCACACTTAAATACGGTGCATGGCTCTCATGTAAAATATCATGTTTATCTATATTGTAATGAAATGTACAATTTAGCAAGTCTGATGCACTCACATTCAATTGTGATATCAACAGAAGTGTTGCTCTTGCCAAGGTAATTTTCAAATTCAGCTGTGTACTTTCCAGAGTGAGTCCTGGTGAGGGGCTCAGATGCTTTGATCGGTTCTCCCTGATAGTACCACTGAACAGTGGGTGCAGGGTTCCCATCAGCTTGACAGGACAACGTGTCTATACGGAACTCATTCTCCACACCAGTGTAATGCCCTGGACAAGCTTGGATCTGTGGCTTATCTATAGAGATCAGCATAAATTAGTACAAAAATTATTTAAGCAGTGGATTTTTTATCAAGTTAAAAAATACAACAATAAATAGTTCAGTGGAAAACTCACAATGCACAACCGCAATGTAAGGCAATGAGGATGTAGGGGTGAGCTCTGGCCCTTTTGGCCCGAAGTGCAGCTCAGCCTCACATCTGAAAATTGATGTGTTGTAATCTCTCACAGGAGTGACTCTCAAGACGGAAGACACATTGACTGGGGCCACTCTGGTGTCTTTAAACATTTCTGTGAGCACAGTTTTATTTCCTCTGTACCACTTCACTTTGAGCTTCTGCACAGGAGCCACACTGATGATGTCACACTCCAGCAGGAAGTCTGTGCCCTCCACCATCGGACCAGGATTCCTGGCAGAGGCTGACACAATATCTGGAGTCTCTGTAAATAAAGTAAGGGAACATTTTTAGGAGAAAAATACATTATAATATCCCTAGTCTATGTCTCACTTGTTAATAAGGTTTAAATCTCAATGTGACTTCCTTGTTAAATAAAGGTTAGGAAGTAAGAAAGATATGCTCGCTCCTCTGTACCTCACTGACCTCCTTCCTATTAACACACCCACCCGTACTCTTAGGTCTTCTTCTTCTATTTACCTCACTGTACCTCGTTTGACCACCATGGGGTTCAGAGCCTTCAGCCGCTCTGCCCCTCGTCTCTGGAACTCTCTTCCAGACATCTGTAACATTGACTCGCTTTCCATTTGTAAATCCCGCCTGAAAACACATCTTTTTAAAATGGCATATCCCACGTGATCACTATTTATCAGGTCACAGCAATCGTTGTTTCCAATTGTTATGTACCCTGATTTTATGCTTTGTAATTATAGTTAAAATTATCGATTTATTGCTTTACTGTTTTATTATGTTTTGTGAGGTTACCTTGAGTGTTCAGATAACACCTATAAATAAAATGTACTATTAAAGATGTTGACCATCTATGGATTCCAAACAAAATGAGATATTGGATTTATGTGGATTTACGAGGATTATGTTTTTTATATGTTTTCTGGTCTGTAATATTCCTTTGAAATTAAACTTACTGTATACAATGAGTTCAAGTTCTTTGCTGCATGTCTGGTACGGCAGCTGTATTTTGCACTCAGCCGTTACATTCCAGTCTGACAGTGAAATAGGCCAGTTGACAAAATTATGTTCTAATTCCATTTCAGGCTGTGGTTTTCCAGTCTGGATCCAGTATATCCCATCATGATCATCAGTTGCGCTGGAGCAGTTTACCAAGACTGAACGTCCATATTCTCCTATAACCACAGGAGGATCGAGCTCAATTGGGCACATATTTTCTGCATCTGTGGATAGACAAATGGTATGTTTTTATTGCACATTAAAAGCAGACTTTACTATACTTGTGGCTCAGATAGCTAATGGATATAACTTTTAAGGTTTAATGCTATGGAGGGTTTTAAGGGTTAATGGAGGGTAAATAAATGAACATTAATGTATATAATCAAATACTTAAATAAATAAATAAATTTGTTATAGAATTTTCACCATAAATAAAATAAACCACAAATTAAATTGGACATTAAATATATGAATATTAGATCTTTAAATTTACACTCATATTATTTTATTTACTTGTTGATTTATTCACACATGTATGTTTTTATAGTTGTATTTTGTATTATATACTTTCATTTACCCAGAGTGTAACTTGCTGCAGGGAAATAAATACATTTTATTTAATTATTTATGTATTTATATAGTTGCAGCCCTTAAAACCCTTACAATACAATACAATTCTAGCTCATGGCGTGCTGTCATGCTTCCAGTAATAAGATCAGCACTGACACATACATGTAGGTATTATAACTGAAAGATAAACTGCACCTGGTCTATTTGAGAAAATTGTAAACACTAAGTAACAAATATGATCCCCCTATATATAGTAATGCTAAAAATGAAGATAAGATTTCTGATTTAACCTGTAGTGGGATAGTCTCTTGAGATAGACTTCTTCTTTTGGGATTTCAAAAAGTAAAACTGCACTACGATTGTAGGGCGATTGTCGATGTATCTTGATGTTGTGTGCGCGCCGCGGTCGATCAGGGTGCTGCGCTTCTGCGGGTTCCACCTTTTGCATTCCGTCGGCATTGGGTTGGTCCTTTACGCTTTATGTGGGTCTCTGGGAACCTCACGGGTTGATTCGGTTGCTGTTCAGGAGGCTGCGGTGCGACTGTAGGGCGATCGTCGATTGTTAGCTGACGCTGTCAGCCTTCAATTTTCAGGGTTTTGGTGGGACAGCGGACTTTTATTGGACTTTTATTTTTTTGGGTCTTCGCATTCGCGTTGCGGTGCGTCTGGGAGTCTTTTTTTTTTCTTCCACCCCTACTGAAAACTGGGGTTCTTGCTTTCCTGTCGCTGGGGTCGGTACAGCGCGGTTTTGGCGTCCCACTGTCACTAACTACTATATTCTATAATAGGCTTATGCACATACACACACTCAGACATATAGCCACATACAGACAGACACATACACACACACAAACAAATTTAGGTTGTCCCTGGTTGTCACAGGTAGAATTATTCTTTATGCTTTTCATTAAGTTACTAGCCTTTTCACCTGTTTAACCAAAAAATCTATTGATCGACTCCAGACTGTCCAGAACTCAGCTGCCAGGCTTTTAACCAGAACAAAAAAATATGACCACATTACTCCTATTTTAGCTGCATTACACTGGCTCCCAGAATGTTTTAGAATTGACTTTAAAATTCTATTCATCACTTTTAAAGCTCTTCATGGCCTCTCGCCTTGTTATATTTCTGACCTTTTAGTCCCATACGCACCAGCACGTACCTTGAGATCCTCGGGCAGAGGTCTGTTGTCTGTTCCAGAGTCTCGACTGAAAACTAAAGGGGACAGAGCGTTTGCTGTCAGGGCCCCGAGGCTCTGGAACAGCCTGCCTGAGGAAATCAGGTCGGCTGAGTCAGTGAACTCTTTTAAGTCACTTCTTAAAACATACTTTTATAGGAGAGCCTTTCCCGATCTTATTTGACTTTATTTTATCCCTTTTATTTTATTGTATTTTACTAATTTTATATTAATCTTTCATGCTCTTATCTTGTTTTTTTTGTATTATTCTTTACACTTGTTAAAACACTTTGTAACTTGTTTTTGAAAAGTGCTCTACAAATAAGGATTATTATTATTATTATTATTTAAATTAATTGTTCCAGCTCTCATGGCTGTGCAGTGTTGTTTATTTATTTTGCACTGTTTCTCCTTTTCATTTCTCCCTCAGTTGTTTTCTTATGTCAGCTGTTTATTGGGATTTATTTGTTTTTGTTCGTTTGTTTGTTTGTTTTGTTTCTCCGTCCTCTCTTTCCGCAATTGGTGTTTGCTTCTGCAATTTCCTGTTGTCCCCATCCCCGTTCTCTTGAGGGTGTTGTCCTTTCTCTGTGGTATCTGTTTGTGTGGTGTTTGTGCCACCCTTCACTATTTGTGCCCCCTGTCCGGCCCGGTGACAAATCAATACATATTTAAATAAATAATAAAACAGAGAAAGGAGTATATTAATACTCTATTGTTAAAGTAAAATCTGTCTGTCACAACATGGTATCCAGCACCTCATACTATATCTATAAAAAAACAAAAAACAGATAGAAATTCACTTCAAGTACTTTAGCCTACTCTGTAAACTATCTGTGCTGACAATATAGAAGTTTTCACCTCAAAAATTATAAAACCTACCTGCCCCACTTAAAATCCCATTTGTTTTATTTACATTTAAAGTAACACTTTTTTTTATCTGTTTCACTTTATTCTGTTAAAAAGTCAACGGCTACATACATGACAAATTCCTTTTTTCTTGATCTCCTTTGTATTTATTACCTCTAACAGCTCAAACTCAAAAGAACTGTATTATTTTATAAAACACAATTATCTAATATACATGTTTCCGTTTGGTTTTGTAGTAAGTATCTAGTAACACCTGGAGCTATCGAAACTACAAGCAAGCAAGATATGACCAGTATTTTCATGTTTTATTCTTAGCTTCTTTGCTTAACATTTAAGACCCACACAGAGCTACTGTAGAGCATCATTAGCACTCACCACACAGTAAAAACATGAACATTAGGTGGCCCAACATCCTGAGAGGCAGCATGCTTGATCAGCACGTGGGAGGAGGGAGATGGGAGGTAGATTGCCGATGTGTTTCAGGATCGTCCAGCGGATGTCCAGGTTCAATACCTGGATAATGATGAATCCTGGCTCAGAACTGAAGATGATGACCTGCTGCTGACAGTTACACAAGCAAGAGAGAAAATAAGAAGGTACTGTAGATAAGGGGAAATTCAACGCCCAAGTGAACAGGAAACTCCCTCTAAAGCGGATTTATGATGCCATAGCCACAGTCTAGATCTTCATTGAGCAACAGTACATGAAATACTCATCTCCACCCATATTTTGTGTAATTGTTCATTGTATCTTAACATTTTCTAAAGTATTAAAAATTGTCATAAAGGATCTAATTTGGCATAATTTTATTAAAAAGTACATTACAAATTGGAAAACATAATATTTTGTCAGGATATTACAACACAAAGGACAGACACTCACTCACAGTACACTAACAGTCTTTACAAATGTACAGACTATCTCTCTCTGACTGGTCTCTAATCAACAAGTAAAACTTTTTTTCATTAAACAGACACACTGGCTCAACACTGTGCAGGGTTAACACCAAAACATGTTCTTAAGGCCCTCTACATATGTCTACATCATCATCACTATGTTTTATTCTCACAAGTTCATAATGCAACTATTTTATGTGGGTTTTATCATCATAGAAACTCGTTTGAGAGAATAGGACCCTCCGTGGAACTCTGCCCAGTAGACGCCATCCTGGTAGCGGCTGCGATAGTGTCCACCCCGATACCACACACCATTTAGATTGGAGTGGGCACACATGTGGTACCACCAGCCTCCTTTCTGGTAATGAGCACAGTTACCTGGTGACACAACAGAAGGACAGGCTTATTAACAGAAAAGGCCAAAATACCAGCAGAGAGCTGATAAACCAAGGGGCAAGCAGACCTGTATAGCTGTCCTTGTCCCGATCCAGAGTGGTGAAGGCTTTGTTGTTGTGCCACGAGAGGGAGTCCCCTGCATTGCCATGGTATTGTCCTAACCGCAGTCGATACCAGTCACTTTCTGGTTCCAGGTGGAAGCTGTCATACTCAGCAAAAACCTGCCGGCCCTGCCAGTCCTCCAGATCCACTCGTAGCTTATATTGGGCCTGTTTCGTCATCCAGTAGAGGTGTTCCAGCCCGAGCCAGTACTCTCCATCCAGGTTCCCAAAGCCTTGCTGCAATACACAAACACACCAGTTTAATCTGAGAAAATGTTTTCATTTTATGCAGTTCACTTATATGAATTCCTCTTTTTTTTTTTTTTGCTATGCTAGCCACATGGCTCTAGAACTGGCAATGCCAGAAATGATACAGCACCTTTCAGACTATGCCTCCCCCTGGAGACAACAGATAAGACTCCCTTCCTGCCACGACTATGAGGTTCCCACATGTCCACTCTTACTTTAAATATCCCTCTCTTTTCCTCCCACCCCTTCTACTCCTTCTCAGCAGTGTGTGCTGTATACTCTGGCAGCTGTTGAACATCATGCTGCAGGCACATAGTACATACACTCTGGAGCTGCAATCATAAGTCGATTAATCGTTTAGTTGAACTATTCTAATCATTAGTTGGTACGTTTGTTCCTGATCCAATAGAGCAATTTATGAAAAAATCCAGCTCAGAAAAATCTGCTGAAAGTGTGAGATGAGCCAATCTAATCTCGCTCTAATGTCAAAACGATGCTCTGACACTTTGTTTGCTGTTGACTTTAGTATTGAAGAGGAAGCATGTTTAAAGGGGATTCCTGACAACTTGGACCGTGTTCTTCTGTACTGCCCTTAAGGTAAAATCAAAGAGACAAAACCCAAATGAATGAGACGATGATTAGCCCGATCACAGAACACAGTTAAAAGGTCTCAGTTTAACCTCTTGGTATTTGGCATTTAAAAATGTTTTGTCCAATACTTTAGTTTATGACCAAATACCTGCAAAACTATTGACATTCCCATCAGCCATAGATTTGTGCTAATTATCAAATGTTAGCATGCTATATTAAGATGGTGAACATGGTAAATGTTATACCTGCTAAAATATAAGCATCTTCATTGTGAGCATGTTAGCACGCCGATGTTAGCATTTAGCACAAAGCACTACTAGCATGGGTGTAGACTGGTGTGTGTGTGTGTGTGTGTGTGTGTGTAATCACTTTATACTGCTCCCAAGTCCTGAAGAAGTTGACCGACCCATCCTGTCTCCTCTGAATGACCGTCCACCCTCCCTGAGCCAGACTCTGATCACACCAGGCCTGCAGGAGGCGGTTGGCACTCTGAGGACGGAGCAGGTAGATCCCACTGGTGGTCTCACCTGATTCAAGCACATGTTGGCAGTCCCTCCACGGCCCTGAGATGGGAGAAAATTATATGCAACCACGTGAGGGTATAGAAGCCATAATAATATATATAACATGTTGGAATTCTTTGTTGTCATTGTTTTAATGTTAATAGTCAAAATGCCGTGCCAGTTTATGAGATGTTTTCTCATTGAGCCAAATCAAGACAGAATGGATCTTATAAACCTGTAATTTTTTTATTTTTTCATAGTTAACCTTTGAAACAGAGATCCTGGCTTCTGAGGATTTATTTTACGTGTCAAACTTTTAGGAAGAACACTACATAACAACTCCAGCTTATGCTGTTAGAAAAGAAGATGTTTTCCCCAACACATGTTCAGTGTCTCATGTCACAGAGATAAGATGAACATAGGAATCTACACAGGGGGGGAAATGTATACATGGCAGAAAATCTCCCACACAAAGTGATAATGCCTAATGGTCTTCCTTGACAAGTATTTGTGGGCCATACTCACATGCAGAAGATGTGGCAACGTCGTCTTTCATCAGACCTTTTAGTGGTGAGTCAGAGTCACACAAAAGGTGGAGTCACTTTGCTACTGCTGACTGGAGCAACTTCTCAAGTCTTCTACTTTGTAATTTCAAACATTCCAGTTGTGCAAGTAAATGACAGCAGTGTCATTTAAAACAAATGGTGTAGTTCACAAGTGTGTCTTCATTATAAAGTGTCTGTTCTGATAGGAGCTGCAAGCTGTGTTTGACATTGTTTAGGCATTCCCAAAGAGATAGGGCTCCTACCAGCGGGTCAGTGACTCTTTTGGCTGCTGCTTATCTTTCCAGCTGAATTTCTGTGACACAAGGCTGATACGCTTATACACACACGTATAAGTCTAATCAAGTTCTGCTAAAAGACATGCTTTACATTGATGTACCTGGAGTCTTTGTGGCACGGAAACTAATGAAAGGAGGATCTGTAGGCGTGTTGGCTGTAGTGGTGAGGAGGGAATGAACTTTTTTTTCCTGCTGTGCCGGAGGAGCACTTTGGTCCCTTTGAACATCATTGGTCATTTGGTTGGCTTCAGAGCTGTAATTAGGATGCACGTTAGACTGGCTTTGGTTTGGTGGTTCAGTCGTCACCTGTCCAGACCAACACAAAAACAACATTCTCATTTACTGTGTAAGAACCCAATACAAACTTGCAACATGACCACAGTTTGTTTCCTACCAGAGAGTTCTGAGAGTCTCTGCACTTGCACTGATTCTCCAGACGAGCAATAAACTGGTTCTGGGAGCTCATCATGGACATAAGGGCTCCATATTTCTTCTCCAGCTCCCTGTAGTTACTGGACACCTGCAGCGCCTGGGATGTTCCACCACAGTTTGAAAAAGATTCAGTAAAGATGTAGCTTTGCTAAATCAAACATCAACAAGGACAGCAGTTCTCTGCTCACCTGTGTTGTCGCATTAAGCAGGAGGTTATCCACCCTTCGCTGCTCCAAAGCCTGATCTTTCTTGTGTATGACTTCATGTAGCAGCTGGGCATAGAGCTGGGCAATGCGCGAATTCATGCTGTTACTCTCTTTGCGCAGAGCTCTCACCTCCATGGCAAGGGCCCCCTCCTGCTCCAGTTGGCTCCGGAGGTTCTCCAGCTGTTCCTGCTGCCGTCTGAGCTCCGCCCTTAGCGCTGCCACCTCCGAGTGGTTGGCAGTAGCAGACTGCGTGTTCAAACACAGCGCACCTGTCAGTTTTTGCTGTGGAACAATGAAGGTGTACGAGCAACGGCCTGCCTTTGCATCCAAAGACTGTGATGAGCGTTTCTGGGTGCTCTCGCCATGAGTCCTGTCCTTCTGTCCTCCAGCTTCTGGAAGGTCCACGCAGAGTGTTAAAAAAAGAGTCAGACCTACTGTTAGTGCCTTCTCCATGAAATCTGTTAAACTTCTGAGGACACCCTGGTAGCAGAGGAAAGGAAATGATTAGAATTACCACAGCGATAACAACACAAAACTTACACCAATGAATGATCCAGAAACACTTAAGACATAAACTTTATATTCATGTGGGTCTTGACTGTTCACCAGATGTGTCCTTGCAAAGTGAAAGTGGCTGGAATTTATTGGCAGGTCAACATCCAGAATCAACACACCTCGTTTTCTCAGTCAACACAACAGCTAGCTCCATCTCCAACCACAGCAACCATGGTCAACATCATAAACAAATGAATCCAAAGGTCAATACTGACATCTGACCACAAAATCTCAACACATCAAACACTGGTACCAATTGTGTATGTCTACACTTCTGAATAAAAAACAATAGTGGATCATACTGACAAGACATGTGAACACTCACAGTTCAGGACTCACCGCAGCAGCTGGAAAGTGTTAAGGACGTCTTTGTCCTCCTCTGTGTGTAGCTGCAGCTCCCAGGATGCACAGATGTCAAATAAAATGCATTTTAAAAATCAAATGTTCAATGATCATTTGAAGAGTCACGTGAAACGAGCCGCTTCTTCCAAAAGTCATCTGTGGCCCTCTGTAAATGATGAAGTGAAGATGAAGGCAGAGAAACAGAATGGCGCCCAAGCTTTGCCAGTTGCTAGACTACCTCTGTTCCCCCCGGAGGTTCTGTCTCAGGATCTCTGAAGCAGACGACAAATAATTATAAACTATCCAAATGACGCCGCCTCCCACTACTTGTTGTTTGCCGGGATGTCTCCTCCCTCTGCCATCAACCTGCTATCCTGCTACAGACGCTGTCCCATAAGGAGCTGAACTTGTGCGGTATTCAGTGGTTAACAAATAACAGTTATTTTCATTAACGATGAATCCAATTATTTTTCTCTATTCACTGATTAATCAATTTGTCTAAAAATAATAATAATAATTAAATAATGAAAAATGCCCAGAGCCCAAGCTGACATCTTCAAATGCCTTGTTTTTTAACAGTCCAATATCCAAAGCTATCAATTAACTGTCATATATGACAAAGAAAAGCATCAAATTTTCACATTTGAGAAACTAGAAACAGCAGACAACATTACATCAGCCTTAGAGCTGTAGGAACTAACAGTCTTCTGTGTCATCCTGACTACACAAAACATTTACATGGCTTTATCTTTTATCTGTTTTGGTTTCCATCACTAGGCTTGTCATCTGTACGATCTTGCAATTTTCCGTTTCAACTTTCATTTTTTGGAGAGATCAAGAACTCTAAATGCTTACAAATTTCAACAACACATAGCAGACTCTTTTTTTTTTAAACCATTTCATGCATCAAATGTTGTGAGTTGGAGGATTCACCGGTTACACTCAGGTTACACTGACAGTCACACCCAATAAGCAACCAGCAGCAGGTTTAAGGTGGTGGCCAATAGAGCAATCAGATAGCAAAGACCAAAAAAAAAGAAAAGAAAACACACAGTTTTATTTTTAACTTTAAATGTTATCACAGTTTGGAGTTGGCATGCACATCTTGTGTTACATCATATCCTGTGGTCTGTGTTAAGATCTGCAGAGCACTAATACTTCAAATGTCAGTATCAACCCAGTTGTTTTCACACTTCTCCCTCTAACATCACAGAATCAAATAAGTCAATGCGGTGTAATAGGTCATGCACCTTATGAGTGATACCACTTAGACACTAAACTGTGGGGTCAGATTAGGATTCTGAAAGGCACAGTTCACAAAAGAGCATTTTCAGTGAGTATCTTTGATATGATGTCTTGTCCTACTTATCTGCTACTGACAGAACTACAGACATGTCAAAGAGTCTTCAGTGATGAAGTGGAAACTTTTCCATTCAATATGTATATATAATAATAGTGTTGCCTTGTGGTTTCAATTCCTCCTGTTCTCTAAAACTAATAATTTCAGGGTTTTATGTTCCAGGCCACACTCTGCTCTGTTGCCACTCTCGGATACTGTTTCTAGAGACAACTCTTTTTCTCTCTCATTAACTAGATCTTGTAGCAAAAATTATTTTATATGTAACAATTATATTATGTGGGTAATGTAAAAATAAACAAATTAAATAATGTGTACAAAAAATAAACAAACTAATGAATTACTGTATATTGTATATTTTGCCAAAAAGGTGTGCCTTCTTTCTTGAAGGTAAGTGTGGATTTAAGAAAAAATAGAAAAGTAGACTTGATAATAAATCTATAATAATATGGAGGCTTTGAGGTATGCAGCATAACAGAAGTATTTCGCCATTGGGCAGTGTTGGGGGTAACGCAATACTGTAATCAGATTACTTTTGTCTGTAACGCATTAATGTAACGCGTTACTGTTGATAAATTCAGTAATCACATTATAGTTACTAATAACAAAATCATCGCGTTACTTGCTGGTTCTTGAACTATCCGCATAAAGGGAGAAGAAAAATAAATCAAACGTCCCTTTTCATGATTGTTTGCGTAACACTTTTCCGACCTCATTTTGACCTCAGCGCCATTTCATGAGGATGCAAAAACTGCAGAGCTGCCAAAGACTACTTTCATGGGGTGGAGGTATTACTTCACATTGTTTCACGAAAGGACATGCGATACCCTCTACTGCGCCTGTGGCGGGGCTCTTTAGCCTGGGTAGTCTTGTGCTGACTCCGAGGAGGAATGGGTTGACTGACAAACGATTTGAGAGACCCCCGTGTGCGAAATACGGGGAGCCAGGGTGAAAAGCATGATATCTGATATTTTGGGTTGACAGCATGCTTTATTGACATTAATCTCTGTAGCCTACTTCTCTATCATCATGAATCATGCGGAGCGTCAGACTTCATCCAGCCAGAGGGAACGATCTCCTGGCCTTGAACGCTCCACCGCCTCCTTCTCCCTCTCCGGTACGGGTTGTGTCGCTAAGCGCTATGAACGGTTCGTGATCGTTCTCTCTGGATGGATGAAAATTAAGCATAATAAATGCACTACTGCAGCTGAGGGGTCTCTGCAGCGCCGACAAATGTCTGGCTGATGTTCATAACTCTGTTGTCACTTTGTAGTATTAAATAGCATAAAAGAGAAATCGCATATCCTCATTGTAATACGGATTTGTGTTGATCTGAGCATATATGAGGTGTAACTAGCCTATATATTGTTATTGTGTATCACAGGAGATGTTACGCAGTGATCCAAAAGTAATGTAAATATTAGCAGTGAGTAATGTAGTAAAGTAAGGCATTACTTTAAAAAAAAAAAAGTAACTAGTAGGCCTAATGTGTAATCCATTGCATTTTTTGAGTAACTACCTCAACACTGCCATTGGGATGCTAGATTACAGCTGTTCTTATTTTTTTGGAGATATTGGAAAGTTTCAGTGGGATATTGTGCCTTCCTCAGCACTAGTTAGAGATAAAGGTGGAGTGTAATTCTTATTACTTGTGTTTGCTGCAACAAGTGATCATAAAGTTGTAATGTCCATTGTTTTCTGGTGTTCACAGTTAAAATCTACTGCCCTACATTTTTCAGGTGGAAAATACAGCTATTAAATATGTTAAAAATGACAGACGCATAGTTAATAAACATTTTCAGTGGTCTTATTTTTTTCACTAATTTGAAAATTGAAAAAAATGTAATAATAATAATTGTTATACATATGTAGCTCCAACATGTGCTTCATTATTGTCAGGCCAATTACGCAGTTTGAATTTGAATATTTAATTTCCTTTTGCAAATGTTTGTATTGAAATTAGCCTATATGTTGTAGGGGTGTATGTTTTTTATAACAATATGTATTACATATACTGTTAACATTAATAGCATACTATGAATACCCCTATGGGGTATAAATCTCTATTTATAATTGGTATCTCCCATTGAAGAAAGTTAAATTGTAGAGAACAATCAGTTGTTGCAGTTTCTAAATGTGGCCACAGGAGTGCAATAAATACCCATGATTCTAAATACTCTCAGGTTAACGCTCATTTGATTTGAGTAGTTTCAGTAGGCTATAAATTCCAGTGTACTTGCAAAAAAATCGACAATAATACATTAATACTTAAAACTGACTTAAAGTTTGGGACTTCTACTAATAATTAATTCGTGATGGCTTCGACTTGCAATTTGTAAGGGCAGCGTCAGTCCGACCACAGTCTATGAGTCCGACAGATGAAAGATAAATATCATCCATCCATCCATCTTCATCCGCTTATCCGGGATCGGGAGATAAATATCAATAAAATGTCAATTTTAAATGTACTGGGCATTCAGTATAACGACTTATCTCAGGATCGCCAGACTGACTAATAAGCAATCTACAGTCTTAGTTTGGCCTATTTAGATATATATCAAGGTGTCCCACAAGTAAAATGCATTTCAATTTTAAGTCTTTAAAAAAAAAATACGTGTAGATTTTCTAGTTTATAAGAAATCAAAGTATGCTTACATTACTTGCGGATCACTTTTGATAGGAACTCTTATCAGATGCGTGAGCAACACGGATACATCAGTGTGTGACACACGGTTGTAACCATGTGGAAGGCGTCGCGTTGACTTCGTAGTTGAATGGTTTAACCTGTGGTAGACGAAAGTTTACGTGCACGATGAACGGATTTTCTCTTGACAGCATAAATATAGTGTCGCAACAGTTAATGTTACTTTGTTGACTGAACTCGTCTTTTCAACATCGCGGTGAATTATGGGGAAATCAAAGGTAAGTAGCGGCCTGTGCTAGCAGGTTAGCCTTAACTGAAGCGAGTAACTTAAGCCTGGTGTAAAAGCACAATTATTCAAGAGGCTGTCTTAATTAATTTTCTGTTGAGATGGTGTATTAAATGTTAAACATCTCGTTTAACTGCAGTTGGCGTTGAATGTGTTGTAAAAGATAACGTTAATAGAGCTGCATGGGAAAATAACGTTTTGACGCGTTTAGGATGAGTTCCCTTTTCAAGCTTTCATCTTAAAGCAAAGCAAAATCACAAAGGAATCTGTCAAATGTCACTTTATCTTTTTTTTTCTCCTCCGTGATAAGTAACATGTGGTGCCTTTCAGACCAAGAACCAGAAGAAATCCCGAGCAACAGCCAACCATGTGGCCGAAGAGACCTACGGAGCTATCCCCCACTCCTTCGTGTTTCATCGGGGTCAGATTGGGAAAAACGTTGGTCAGCTTGTCCTGGACGTGCGGAGAGTCATGGAGCCATACACTGCAGAGTCTCTTAAGGTCCGTCTGTGAAACCAAAAGCTGGACCAGATGTCTTCAGCACAGATGTGTGACTGCACACACCTGATTAATGAGGCCATGTTGTTTTTAATGAAGCAGAAAGTGAAATGGCATCTCAGCGTGTGCTTTGATCTGTGTCATGCCGCCTCACACTCACTACGTTTGACCTGTTTGTGCATTTTTTTGGTACCAGATTAGGAAGAAGAATGTGCTTAAAGACTTTGTGGCTATCGCGGGACCACTGGGAGTGACACACTTCATGATCTTCAGTAAGACTCCCAGCAGTATCAACATGGTAAGATCAGATCGCGCCATAAGCCAACAGTTCTTTGGAATTGAAGGACTTGGCAATTTGACCATATAACACCCGTACCACCATCCACCCAACAACACATTTCTTGTGCTTTCAGAGACTTGCTCGACTTCCTAAAGGTCCCATGCTTCACTTCAGAGTGCTCAAGGTAAATATAGGAGGTAAAGCTCAAGTACAACAAATAGATGGGCTCAAATGATGTCACTTTAATATTTGACTGTTAGTGATGTTTTCAAAGTAAACGCACTGATGTGCCCAAACTAACAAAGTCATTTCAGTCTCTTAATTTTTTCCCACTTTTAAAAGGATTATTACTTTCCCCCCCTCCCCAGTACACTCTCATCAAAGACGTGGTTTCATCTCTGAAGAAGCACAGGATGCACGAGCAGCAGTTCACACATCATCCGCTACTCATCCTCAATAACTTTGGATCGGATGGCATGCATGTCAAACTCATGGCCACCATGTTCCAGCACATGTTTCCTTCCATTAATGTGCACAAGGTATGTTTTTCCAGCAGAACTGTTGCAGCGTTGTCACTTTGTTTGACTCACGATTTAAAGCCTTGTTGGCATGATGAAAGTATAGTCTTCTGAGATTACCCTTGAAGATTAGTGAAAAGTAAACGCTTTCTGATTTCTGAGTCTTTGAGTCATTCAGCAGTGTAAAGATTTAACTGTCAGTACAAGGGGGGGGAAATAAGGTTATTGTTTTGTTTGTTTTTTTGTTTTTTCAGGTAAGCCTCAACAACATCAAGAGATGTGTGCTGCTGAATTTCAACCCGGTGTCCCAGGAAATTGAATTTCGACATTAGTAAGTAAATATTTTGTCATTCATACAAAGTGAGTCGTTGATTTCTTTTATTGTCTTGTGACGTGATGGTTGGGCTCAGATGATGACAGATTGTAACTTGACTGTTCAGTGATGTATGTTCAAAGTAAACGCACTGATGAACCACCACACAATAGCCGAATGTATTTTATTCACTGATTAAAATTTTACACTGACCCATGCGATCGTCGTGTTCCCAACCTGCAGCAGTTTGAAGGTCGTCCCTGTGGGCATGAGCCGCGGAGTCAAGAAGCTGATGCAGGAGAAGTTCCCCAACATGAGCAAGTTTGAGGACATCAGTGAGCTCCTGATGAAGTAAGGCTCTTGGGAAGGTACAATTCTTTGAGTCAAGGGGCACTAAGTTTGTAGGCAGTCTGCATCTGTTCTGACATCTGCAGAGCTGGTGGTGTTGTCTGATGAACTACTCTGTGCCCTCTTACAACTCTCAGGGGGGCGAATCTATCAGAGAGTGAGGCAGAGCAAGATGGTGAACACAACATAACTGAATTACCGCAGGTCTACTCTGGCCGCGGCAACATGGCGTCCCAGCAGAGTGCGGTCCGTCTGACAGAGGTAAGGATGCAGAGGGAGTGTAAACCTTTGAAACAGTGTGAAGCTGATGCTTGAAAGGCAGCTAAATTGTTGCACTGTGTTGCCCTCAGATTGGTCCTCGCATGACTCTGCAGCTGGTGAAGATACAAGAAGGCATGGGAGAGGGGAATGTTCTTTACCACGCCATTAGTGAGTGCACACCTGCCCTTGCTCATTTATCTTGTTTTATTTGGGTGTACATGATGAAAGAACCTGTATGAATTCCATGATTTCTCTACAAGTAAACGCTTACTGATGCATCTAAAGGTGGCATCATTTTTAATGTAGAACTGGTACAGATTGTCTTTTAATTGGAAATTGTCATGCTATAATTACCAGTCTCGAAGACGGAGGAGGAAATCCAGGAGATCCTGAACCGGAAGGAGGCCCAGCTAAAAGAGAGAGAGGGTCGGCGGAAAAAGCAGGAGCAGAACGTCGCTCAGAAGAAAGAGAAACGAGAAGAAAACAAGTAATTTGATAGATAATTCGCCCCTTTTGCCTTATCCATTTTTTGGGTGGGTTGAAGTGTAAAACTTTGTTTTTGCCCTCACTCCTAACAGAAAAAAGAGCCTGGAAGGCATTAAGAGGAAACGCGCTGAGGATGAAGAGGACAGTGAGGTGGAGGATCCCGGGATGCAGGATGATCGGCCAGCTGCTGTCGAATCTGATGACGAGGTGGAGTACTACAGACAGGCTGTAGGACAGGAACCAGATGAAGGTGAATATAACGGTGTGCTATAAACTTGGGTCTTTTGGGTCGTGTTGCAAATGTATTTATTCACCAACAACTTTTTGTCTGTTTTGTGAAGACATGTTCCCTAGTACCAAGAAGAGGCATAGCTCAGAAAAGACTCATGGACCTGCCAAGAAGAGGAAGATGTCTCCCGGTAAACCGCCAAGAAAAGACAGAGATGCTAAATCACAGAGGAGAACCGGTCAAGGAGGACCGCACAGAGATAGACCAGGAAAAGGATGGAAGAGGGACGGGGAGAAACCGTTTGGAAAGAAAACAGGGCCCAGAGGAAAGGCATTCGGAGCAAAGAAAGCCGGTGACCGGGAGAACAAATTTGGTGGGAAGAAATTTCAAGGGAACAAAACATTTGGTGGAAAGAAAAATCAGGACAAATCATTCAAATCTAAAGGCCAGAAAGGCAAGTCGGGTTTTAAGAAGAAAGGTGCAGGAGCAAAGCAGGACTTCAAACAGAGGAAAGGAAAAGGCTGAACTCTGCCCCTTCTTTCTGCACATGGACATTGAATGTGTAACGCTGGAGCACCAGATGGCAGCAAGCATCCATTTTAAGGCCTCAGCAGAGTCATGGTTCTTTGTGAGACTGTTTACTGCTGAAAATCAGCAGAAGGACAGAAGAAAACAAGCATGCTATATTTTCACACTGAGTTAATATTGAAAATGTACTTGTTCAATAAATTGTTTTTAAAAATTATCTTGCCAACTTAGTAGATGATTTTATTCTTATCAGTCAGTCGGTGCAGCCAGTTTCTTGGGATTCATGAGATAATTTCAGGGCTTTTTTGTCCCTTTCTGTGAGACATCTATTTATAGTTAAACATGGCCACAAATAGCCCAAAAGATAAATTTAGCTGCACCTGTGGCTTTTGGTTTGCTCCCTGATGCTGCTAAGAGGTTCTCCACTGACCAACGAAGTCTTCATGGAAGGATGGAGTTGTAAGTAGCAATAGTAAATATCTCATTAGTGATTACAATAATATAAAAAATATGATCAACACAGACTTGGTTTCTATATTTCCTTTAAAACTAAAGCCAGTAATAATACCACATTGTAAAAATACTATCTTGAAAATGAGTATAATCAAGAAAATGCACTTAAATATTACAAGTAAAAGAACTCGATGCAGAAAATACTTTGTTTAAACAGTTTAAAGTAAAAGCAGCAAATCTTTACATTTGTGAAGCTCAAACCATGAAATGTTTTTACATGGAAAATTACTTTTTTTTTATCACCAATTGTTTCAGATGTATAAACTGTTGGGGAGATTAATTTTTAGCATAACATTTTACAAACTCTTCATGTCTTTTTGTTTGTGTGTGTAAAAATCTTAATGTGTAAAGTAACTAAAGTTGTCAGATAGCCTAAATGCAATAAAGTAGAAGTGCCTCACATTTTTACTTGCGTAGTCTACAGTACTTGAGTTAATGTACTTATTTCTTTTAATAAAACAGTGGCTATTTATCATCGCAACATAGTGTTGCTTCTTCAAATTGCGAAATGTATGCTGAGGGTAAGAGGAAGTTCCAAGTGTCAGGTTTGTCACCAAGCATCACATGTCTCTGCCAAAGAAGATAGTTGAGGGGTTTCTCGCTTTTACAGAAACCACACAGGAAAACATCCCTTCAGGGTGATATGCTTCTTCACAGAATAGATTACCTTAAATTGGCCTCTCAGTAAGTGGAAGTCAACATTTTCTTTATAATTTCTGCATATTTACTAAAAATGTTAACAACAAACAATGAAGATTACATAGGCCTATTGCATTTGTATGTTTTTTTTAAAGATTGTTCTCTAGGAATATGTTTCCTAACTTCCTACACTTTACAGTTGTAAAATATTTACTTGTGTCAAAATGAATGTGGTTTTTATTCAAATTTAATGAATTAATATACTTCACTTTACAGATTTTGGACCGTACAAACTGAGAAAGAAGCTCTATCACAAAATGCAGCTGAATTACTCTCGTTGTGAGCGGTTTCAAACGGCCCTGCTGCCCTCAGTGTACGGAGTTGAGTTCATTGTAGCCCTGGCAGGAAACGTGTTCGCTCTGTGGCTACTTTTAGTCAGAGAGAGAAAGAACTGGCACACTGGCATTGTGCTGTCGTGTAACCTGGCCATCAGTGACCTGCTGTATGTCATGAGCCTGCCTTTGCTGATCGCCTACTACTCACTGGAGAAACACTGGATATTTGGCAACGCTGTGTGCAAAATAGAGAGGTTTCTTTTCACCTGCAACCTCTATGTGAGCATCTTCTTCATCATGGCAATAAGTGTGAACCGATGTGTGGCCCTCGCTTGTCCCTTCTTTACACGATCCCATGTTCGGACTGCCCATGCCAAGGCCGTCAGTGTCGTCATCTGGATTGTTGTAGGAGTAATTTCCTGCCCTGTGTTGAAATTTGCCTCTGTTTGCCCTAATGCGGACAAAAATAACTGTGTGTCATTCTGTAACGAGACTCAGCGAAGCACTCACTTCACTTACAAAATGTTTCTTGCTGTGTTTGGGTGTCTTGTTCCCTTCCTGGTTACTTTCATGTCTTACTGTGTGGTGATTTGGGTGGTGTGGAAAAATGTCAGTATAACCACGCTGGAGAAACGTAAGGTAGCCCTGTTGGTCACATCAGTGCTTGTGCTGTATGCCATTTCGTTTGTGCCTTACCACATATTTCAGATATATATCTTCTATCCGAAACCCGTCAGTCCCTGTTGGGTCTACAAGATGTACCAAGTGTGTAAAGGACTGGCAACTCTGAACATGTGCATCCATCCAATCCTTTACATGGCTGTGTCTGACAGTATAAGAGTAGCTTGTTGTGGGAAGAGCCCAGAGGACAACACCGGGGGAGTAATGAGAAAGTAGAGCTTCCTCTTTTCAGCTTGCAAAATTTTAATTCTACACAGACTTGTTTTTGTTATTTCTGAAAGTTATTTTTCTACTCTTACCATTTGTAATAAAGACTTCTTTGTTTGCTGCAGTGTGCCTGCTTTTAATTAGAAACATCTTAAAATCCTTCTGTTTAACTTAATGTCTGAATCAGTCCACGTCATTATCAGAAAGAAAAGTGAGATTGGAGAGTTGTTATTCTATACTGACTATAAGTTTGGATTATGGTCCAAAAGCCACAACAGAATACTAGTTGCTGTATAATATTACACAGGCATTTAGCTTCATTGCAGAGGAATCCCCACTAAAATAAACAGAGGGGTATTTGTCTGTAACCGACACAATAACATAAAATTGCATCACGTATATTTGATAAAAAGATTCAAACCAGTTCTGAGGAAGTGGTTGACCGCCACAGAACGTGTGGGCAGGAGCAGTTCTTATTTTTTCCAGCAGCCTATAACTTTATAGGCTTTTTAGAATCAGAATCAGAAGGAGCTTTATTGCCAAGTAGTGTTTTACACATATGAGGAATTTGCTGTGGTGATAAGGTGCTGCACGCAGACCATACAGAAACATACAGATGACATAAATAGATGTAGAAATATATAAATATGGAATAAACAAATGCAAGTTATCTGAGAATAATAGAATAGAGAAAAATACTATTTTCAAACAACGTGGCAGATATCGACATGCGCATTGCTCTGGTTTGTGTTGTGCAGACGTATTGCAATGGAAGAGGATGTTGTGTGCATATTTATATATAAATTGACAATATGAAAAATAAATATAACAATAAAACAACTGTGGTGTCGAACATTAATGCTGCGATGATGTGTTGAGAAGAAATCCGCTTGACACTGTTCTTGATCATAAAAGTTTATTACATCAAGGAGTTGTCATCAATTACAAGCTCTGCAGCAGCTTGGAGAGTGACCCAGCCCGATGACTACTCTGTCTCTCTGTACATCAAACACAGCTTATATAGGACATGTTTAGGTATCTGTTAGATATCATATAAGGGTCTGAGTCTCCACCTAACCACTAACCTCTGCTCTCCCCTTCAAAGGTCACTAATCCTCTATCCAGCTGCTACAGTGCTATGTTAAACTGTTATGCGTCAAATGCACGTTATACACCACAACAACGATTAACAATTAACAAATATGTGCAATGTGCCAGGTTCGTCCATGATATGAAATTAAGTGATATTTACATGTGCAGAGAAAGCATGGGTAAAAAATATTCTTCAATCTACAACACAAAAGCATGCTTTTGATAAAGATCACAAAAAACTATTTTGTGCAGCAAAAAGTTTTAGTAGTTAAAAAAACAACAAAAAAAAACTCTACCTTCTAGGTTAAGAATGCCTGAATGAAACCAGAGATGAAACCCACAAACCTCAGTTTTGTGTTTTCACAAGCATGCAATTTTTGGTTGTGCTCTGTCACTTTTCCTTAAACATTGAAGTTCTAGGTTACAATGTCGAACATTCATAATACAAAGACAAAAGATCATATATGATTAGACTACACATTATTTCCCCCCTACAGCCATTAAAACATAGTTTGAAACTATGTTGGTGAAGATAAAGATTCTCAGTCATCCGTGCCCTCGTTTTAAACCAATGGTTAGATAGCAAAAATCACGCGGCCCAGATCCTTCATAAGTTCTGGGCCAGATCTGTAAAACGGACCCGGGCCGGTGTCCTTTAGCACAACGGGCCAATGCCGGTGCGGATCCGGTTTTCACATCTGGGCCGGCACTGGTCCAGCTCCAGAACGGATGACAATTATTATGTAGTCATTTGGCCCAAATGTGGGCCAGATCTGGACCAGTTCCATACTGGATCTGGCCCAGAGTCTCTAAGATACTGTTGAGGATCCGGTTTTCACATCTGGACTGGCACTGGGCCAGCTCCAGAACGGATGACAATTATTATGTAGTCATTTGGCCCAAATGTGGGCCAGATCTGGACCAGTTCCATACTGGATCTGGCCCAGAGTCTCTAAGATACTGTTGAGGATCCGGTTTTCACATCTGGACTGGCACTGGTCCAGCTCCAGAACGGATGACAATTATTATGTAGTCATTTGGCCCAAATGTGGGCCAGATCTGGACCAGTTCCATACTGGATCTGGCCCAGAGTCTCTAAGATACTGTTGAGGATCCGGTTTTCACATCTGGACTGGCACTGGGCCAGCTCCATTTATTAGTTCTGGCCTGGATTCACACCACCTCTGGCCTCTTTCATAACCTTGATCTATACCCACAAAACATATACAAAAATATGGATTTTTTTTGTAAAAGGGATAGTTAAAATTTTTGCCATCAGATGTTGTGCATGACTCACCAAGTGCTATGGATTCTACTACTAGATAACAGTGAAGGTATACCCCTCCTGTCTGAGAAGCCAAAGGGTTACTGGGATAGTTTCAACCACAGAACTTATGGCAGGAGCTGGTCTATATAATGTATAACAAATAGTGACTTGTATATCACTAAGGTACACTAAGATTTCTTGTTTTACTTTCGTTTTCTTTTTCCTTGCATTTTAAACTCGATTACTTTTTTCTTTTGAATTTAAAAAGCATGGACAGTCAAAACTACTGTTACACTCTGTTACAAAGACTGTTTCTATTTGTCCTACACAGAATTTCAACAAAGAAAGTGATACAACAGATGAGTGACACATTTTAAATTTTATTTGAAATGTTTGAGGACAGAAACGTAAAACAAAGTAGATAATTGCCAAACTAACATTCAATCTAATAAACACATTTTACAGCTCATTTCTGTCTTTAACAACTGCAGGAACAAGAAACTTCACTCCAGTTGACAATTAGTTTCTAGTAACTGTACAGTAACCACAAACCTATGACTCAGGTGTTATTTTTATATGAATGCAGAAGTATTAAACTCTAATAATAGCAACAGTGTGGCTTAGTTAAAAAGCTCAATATATTGACATTGCTATCAGTCTTGCATAGTGTAGTGTACCATTAGTAATGATGATGGTAAGAAAGTAAGATTTCTTTCTCCCTGAGAGCGATGAGAAGATATATACCACACTCATGATATCATACTCTACATATAAAGCTAAAGCCAGGAGACACACGAGATTCTACGGCCTAAACACACAAGATAACGTTTTAATTAGCGACAAGCGCTAAGTTTGTCTTGATAGATGATTACTGCCAGCCATTTAGATTTTAACCATTTTCCATGACCATGGTATAAATAACAGATTGGTATAAGAAACAGAAAAAGATTTTATAGCCAAAATACAATATCCAACTCCAACTAGTCATGTGAAACCCAGAAAAAAAAAACTGTAAAATGTTCATACACATTGTTTGGTGGCTTTACGGGAAACATTGATGAGACAAGTGGAGAAGTGGGACTGCCATAACCCTCACGACACCCAACAAATCATCAGTAGTGGAAGAGTGGGGGATGGCAGATGTGTTCATTTCTGCAAAGGAAAAAAGAATGGGTGTCAACTGATAATGGCAATCACAAATTACATAAAATCCACAGAGATTAGTCATTTTAAAGGGGACTAGGGCTGGAAGATTTGACCTAAAATCAAAATCCTGATTAAATGAACATTTTACCGCGATTACAACTAATGACTGAGGGTTTTTTGCCCTCCTAGTTCACTGACCAGGCTTGTACCACAAACATGCTCAACTATTGTAGGTGGGGTGGTTTTTTAGACTCACAAATGTCAAAAAACAATTATGTAAATGTTAATTGATAAGATCATGCTGACGTGCACACAACAGACGTACTCCCCCTAAATTTGGAGTCAGTGACTACAAACAGTTTTTCAAGGGGAAAGTACATAAACACACACACTGGGGGACATTTTAACAGGAAATAAAACAAACCAACCATCTTTATTTATACAACAAACAAAAGGAGGGTGGACGATGGTGCTGCGAAAATAACAAACCAAGTTAAAATAAAAGGTCCTCAAAAGGAGGCCTTTACCTATCTATCTATTTAAGCAGAGTTGATTCTTGCTACAAATGAACACAAAGAGCACAGCACCCACTCCACCTGGTGAAACTAACACAATAGTAAACAAAAAACTAAGTGAAATTTCTCCACTGCACCCAATGTGGAGCTAACAAACAAAGGTATGCAAATGGTTTCACTAAACACAATGTACAGCTAAAAAGCAAGGAAGGTGGATAGTTCCACTAAACACAAAGTACAACTAACAGGCAGGGTATGCAGTCAATACCAGCGGCACACAAGTCAATAGGCGGTGACAAGCTGCCTGGAGCAACAGGTGGACTCTCCTTATGAGCCGGACGTAATTAACGTGGTGACGAGCCATTGGTTGAGTGGAAACAGAGGGAACCAATGGTCGGGACTGATGTCAGCACCCCAGAAACCAGGAAGTAGGCGGGTCTTCAATCCACAGGCACACAGCCTACTTGGTAGAGGTGAGACAGAAAAGGGGAAAAACAAAGGTGACAGCGACAGCTGTGACACACTTCATCGGAGGTAGAAACTGAAACCAACACTGCCAATCAGGCAGACATCTGAACGCAAATCCTCATGTTAACTTCTGTAGCTCTGATAAAGTGAACTCACAGTCCCAAACAGAGCTAGACTGTGATTCCGGTTTTAGATGTTTATAATGCAAAACTCTGTGCTGGCTGCGTCTCAGCACGCGTGGGTTACTTTACTATTACGGCATATGCCGAGTTGCATCAGCTGGGTGGAGATGATTCTTGCCGCTAGTCGACATTATCAGAATATAGATTTGTTTTTCACTGCATGAGAAGATTGATGTGTGGTGCTTAACGCTATCCTTCACAGCGCGATTGAGAGGTCAATTATTATGTGAAGATATGAAGTTTTATGGGCTGGGCTAAGCCCCCAATGTTTCAAGATCCTAAAAACGCCCCTGTTGCTGCAAAAGACTAGCGCGGTGATTTATCTAAAATTTACCACGGTTAATGCCTCTCTGGCCATGGCACGTTTGTTGCGGCCACCTCCAGAGTCAGAGGCCAGGTTGAACCAGCGGATGGCGTGCGGGTTAATCTCGTTGTCCGATGCGCTGCTAGCAGCTTGGTTCTTCCGTTGAGCCTCTGTTAAGAGAGAAAGTCAATTGGTTGATGAGCTGTCATTAACAGACATTCTGAAAATTACCTCTAAGCCAAGCTAATAACCAATGAGAAATGCTTTAGAGGGTTGAAAAAAGTGCTCAATGTCCATGTTTACTATTGTTGGTGTGGCAGTAGACCTAATTTTCTATAGCATTTAATTTAGTAACTCAAAACAAATAGAATTTCATTCATGAATAACTAATTATAAAAAAATCATACTGATTATGAACGGAACAATTATCAAATCACATCTGGATTGTATTGGATCTGCCTTAAATCTCAGTGCATCTTATCATTACAAATTTATCTGTGTGGATTCTGTATCAGGTCATGGATAGGCATTGGCGGGTACCAACATTTCCCCAGTATCTCCAGGCAGAGGACATTTAGGGGAATCGTTTTACTGACAGCTCTTTCAGAGGTGTGTCAAGCAGACTACAGACTCTTTTTAATGTCATTCAGACATGTCAATGTCATTCAGAAAAGTAAAAGCTCTCAATTCAACTCCAAGTAAAACATTACAGCAAACAAGCTCATGCTTGTTGTTCTCATGCTTTTATTTTGCTAGCAAACCTACAAAGAGGAAGTGATTATGGTAGTAACCAGTGCTGTCATGTCTATTTCAGCACCGCTATCAAAGTATTTTTTTTATTTTTATTTTTTGGCTTTTAAGTTGCATCCCTTATATCTTAAAATATACTATTTAAATATTTTATTTTACATAAACATTCGTTCTCATCTACTAGTCACCTCCACATATAATACGTATACTAAAATACTTACTGATCAACGGAGTTCTTGTCAGCATTTCTTTAAAATATTTCTTTTCCCTTTACTCCTTTCCAATTAATCTGTTTGGCCACTGTGTTTGAGAAAATCATTGAAAGTATATTCCAAGATTGAACAGTAAATACTATTAACAGAATGTTATCTGTGAAAGTTGCTAAAATAAGGATGAAAGAGCACCGTATGCAGATCAGTGGTGAAGTTACTAGTACAGCAGAGCTGACCAGAAGTCAGACAAAATGTAAAAAGTAGTCAAAACACACAAAACATTTTATACATTTGACAGTTATGTGTAACATTACCTGTATCTATATAATCATATGAAAAGGACAACAAAAAAATGAAGACCTTTGTAAATATATGTAAGAGCCTTATTTTGAGAATATTAAATTCAATGAGTTTTTAAATTATTTTAAGACCCAGTGGGTAACGTTACCCTGCATGACAAATGACCCCAGGAGCTCAGCTCTGCTAATGTTACAGGTTTGCACTGCATTGTGATTTTGGAACAAACCCCAGTGGTAGTAACATTATGTACAAAGCCAGC